GCCCCGGGCTTCCTCGCCGCGGTGAGGTCAGCGCTCCGCGCCCCCTCCCCGCCGCCGCCGCCGCCGGGTCTCCCCCTCCTCACTTGCCGGGTTCAAAAATCGCGGCCCAGGCAGCCCCCTTGTGGCAGTTGGGGGCGCCACAGACTCTTGCTGGTGTCTGAAGGATCAGACCGCTGATGCCTCTGATTCCACCGCACCCACCGCACCGTGAGTTGGCACAAATCTTAAGTAGCCCAACTCCTGGGCTGCGGGACATGGCTCAGAGCGCTGGTAGGCGCCCACTCCTCCCTCCCCCCTCCCGCGCCTCTCCCTCCTCCTTCCCTGCGCCCTCGGGACGGGGACTCTCCTGTTGAATATTCTCTGACAAGCTGACAGGTGTCTGGCCCCCCGTATGGGGCGGGGAGCCCGTTGGGGGCAGCCGGGGAGGCTGTGGGATCAGCGCGGCCTGGCAAGGCAGTTTGGTTTTCATCTGTCTGCAGCAGGTGGAGAAACTGAGGTGCAGGGAGACTCGAGGTCCCTGTCTGCGTCTGAGGAGGGGCTGGGGCTCTTTTCCCCCCCAAGAGTGGGTTTCAGCTCGCGGAGGGGGGCTGCCTTCTAGCCCGTCCCCTCCGGCCCCGCTCAGCATCAAGCCCTGGTTCTTTCCAAAGCCAGTCCTCCCCACGAGAAAGCCCTAGGGGGCCCCCGGACACGCTCCATCCTCTCTAACTCACTGTCCACGCAAACCAGCCCCGCCCTCTCCGTTTCCAGCTGCAATCTGCTCGGAGGTGGGCAGGGCCCTCCACACATCAGGTTAATAATGCCATTTTCATAAGCCTCTGCCCATAGTTGCTACCACCCAATTTTGAATCTGCCCTTCAAACGGATTGGGCCACAGAGGAGCTGGGCTCTTGAGCAGCGCGGGGAGGTGCTTATCACTAATCAGCCCGTCCCCGGCCCACCCACACCCCCAGCACACAGCACAGCCTTGCTGGCAGCCTCGGCAGCCAGGCGTGCAGGGAGCCCTGGACACACCGGGGGCCACCCCCGCCTGGCCTCTCACCGGCTGAGGGACGGTGAGTATGGGACCTCGCCCCTCCCTGACTCAGTCTCTGCATCCAGCAAATGGGGGCCCGAGGCTTGGCCTGGGAGCCCTGCCCTGCGCAGCCGGCTGGCTGAGGGCTCAGCCGCTTCTCAGGGCTGCCTGTAGCTCAGCTGCTGTGGTCCCGGTCACCCGGATCTGCAGTGACTCACTCCTCTCTCCTTCCCCACCAGGCTGAGCCTCGAGGACGGCAGCTGCCAGCCCGGCAGCAGACCGGCAGCTCGGCGCCTCTTCGTGCCCAGCCTCTTACTCGGGACTGCCTGACCCCAGGGGACAGGTAGGAGAGTGAGTGAATGGATGGATGGATGGGTGCACCCCAGAGACCGGGGGTGCTGAGCCCCCCTGGGTGTCTCTTCCCAGGCGCCTCCCTGCCTGCGCTCTGCTGGAGAGGCTACAGGGTGAGGTGCTGCCCCGGGCGTCGCTGCCGTGCCCGGTGCGCGTGCTGGGTCTGTTTGGTGCAGACGTGGGCATTCTGCTAGGCTGAGGCCTTTCGAGTTCTGCTGCAAGCTCCCGGGCCATGGCGGGCCCGCAGCTGGTATTTTTGGTGAGGGGAAACCTGCAGGGTCTCTGCGCCTGGCGAGACACACTGTTCCCACTCAGGGCCAGATCCTGAGGGCCAGACCACACACTTTCTTTGTGAGACTTGTCATGTGCATAACTCCTTCCTGAGTCCCGCTGTCAGCTCGGGCAGCCAGGTGGCGAGGGTGCCTTTTCTCACTCATTCGATCTTACTTGGAAGGTCAAGGGAATGTGGGTGACCTCTGCTAGAGAGCAGAGTCGGCAGGCTCGGTGGGCTCATCTGGGAGCCCCCAGACTGCTGCTGCCACTGCAGAGGCTGAACAGGGCCAGCCTGGGGCACCGTGGGAAAAGTGGGGGAGGGGCTACATGAGGAGCATTCTCCTCGGCAACTAGCGGGGGGGCCAGAAAAAGCCAGGAAGCTTGGAAACTGCTTCACAGACAGATGCTGAGCGGCTGGACCAAGAGGGTGGAGCCACGCCCTCCCCTGGGCCCCAGGGAGTGCAGCAGGGTCGTGGGACGTCCCAAGCTCAAGTGTACAGGGGGCAGGGGCTTCAAGGGACAGGTGTAGATGGCCCCTAGGGGGAGAGGGGTGACAGGGACCCCCAAAACTGACCCTCGGGTCAAGGGGGGGGGGTCGGCTACCTGACACGAAAAAATGAGAACTGAGCGTAAAAATCAACTTTTGCTTGCTGACTGCAGTGCACTAAGGGTAGAGGGGTGAAGGGCCGCTGCGGAGTTCAGAGGCACGTGGGGGGGCGGGGGGGCACAGTCGCTTGGTGTGCAAACACGACAAGCGGGCTGCTCGGGGGGAAATGGAGCTCCCTGTTCCAGGAGGCATCCGAGCAGAGAGAGGCAGGCCAGTTCTTGGCCAGGAGGCTGCAGCAAGGCTCCCTGCCCAGGTTGGCAGCCTGCACATCTAGGCCTCTGAGCAGCTCCTGCAGAGCTAAGTCCCGGCCGGCTGCAGCAGAGCAGGCTGGGGTCAGAGCAAGGATGCACAGACATTCCCCTGTCCCGTCGCCAGCCCTGAGCTGAGCAGCAGAGTCGGGGAGGTGGCTGGCGGAGCTGCTGTCACAATAAGGCAGTGAGGGAGAGCAGCAGAGTCGGGGTGAGTGTGTGGGGCCAGCAGGGGTTGGGGGGTAGGTCTGTTCTGCAGCCAACTGCCCATCTCAAGGGCCAGGCCACTGGAGTGGCCAAGTACCCGCCCCAGCTCCCAAGCACAGAAAGGTTGGCTTGGGTCCCGTGTGGGGCAACAGGCTGGTGCAGTGGAGCCGGGAGAAGTCTTCCTGGGGGAAGTGAACAAGGCGGGTCTGGTGCATTACAAGGCCGATCGGTCCAGGAAAAGCAGGGCCCTTTCCTGGAGGCTGGGCTGCAGCCAAAATCCGGCTGGCTGCGGGCTGAGACTTGGATGCTCCAGGGACGTGAGGCAAACCCCTCGCCCAGAAGGGGCTGGGAGCCGGCACGCTGATGAACGCGGCCAGCCTGGTGTCAGGGACTCCCCTCCGGCCCCATGCATGGGGGCTCTGTTTCAGGAACTCTGGGTGTCTGGCCATAACCGGGGACCCCGTTAGAAGACCCCGCTGTAGTTTCTAAAGTTCTCTTGCCTTTGTTCCCCGTGCGTGCGTGCATGTGTCTGCCTGCGTGTGCTCGTGGGAAAGGGGCTGTCCAAGGGGCCAGCTGGGGTTTCCTGTCTGCGGAATGGCCCAGCTGCCTGGCTCACCCTGAGGGCAGGGGTGCACCTCTGTGGAGCAGCAAGATTGGGGGTGCAGTGGCAGCGGGACGTGGGAGCAGCTGCTGGCTGCTTGGTCCTGACAGCCAGGTGCCGACAGCTGCCCGACCCACCGTGGGGGGGCAGCATCGTGTTGCAGGTGGAAAGCCAGGCTGCTCCCCGCAGAGGGACGGACAGACACCCTCCACCCTGCTTAGCAGCTGCCGGCGGGGGGGGCGGCTCTCAAGGCGCAGATGTGTGCGGCTTTTTGCTGTTGCCTGGGTTAAATCTATTAAAGGATTGCTTTCAAACTGTTGATCTGAAAATGTTTGCTCAAGTGTATTTGCATATGTGTCCCTGGCACTACATTTGGGAAGTGCAGGGAGTAAAACAAGAGGAAAGCTTGCACATGCAGGTCTCTGGCTGGGGGAGCCGTGGGGTGAAACAGGGCCCGCGGAAAGGCGGTGGCCCTCAGCGTTTATTTGCGAAGCCGTCCTCCCCAAGTCTATCTCTCAGGGGCAGAAGCAGGGGCCAGCTCCCACGGCAGGAATGTCCTCTCACAGACCAAGAGCACCCAGCCTGCCTGCACCCCTGCGCCCCAGGCCGCCCCCAGGCCTCCTGAGGAAGGTCGGGGGGAGCCACGCGGTAGCAACAGCCTTCCAGGGTAAACAGCCTGGAACTAGGAGAAGGAGGCTTTGTGCCTGAGGAAGTTCACTTTGTGGAAAGCACCTCCCAAGTGCTCCTTCCATCAGGGACACTGCACCAGGCACAAAACCCTCATTTAGGCTGGCCCGGCCCAGGGAGTGTTTTCTGTGAAATTTTGGAGAAGTCAGGTTTAGCCAGAAGTTTTCCAGGAATTATTAACCTCTGGAGACTGTGACCACTGTTCCTTCCGAGCCGCCCTTGCCAAAGTCTATAAATATGAGCCTGAAAAATCTGCCTGAAGAGCAGTCTGACATTTTATGTATATTTATAAAAAAATGAAAGAAGCTTCGGCCAGCGCGTTCAGGAGAGGCCCTCCCAGGTGTGGGGCCTGGCTTGCGGTGGGGGCGGGTAGGGCGCGGTCTCTCGTCCTCTCATTCTCCCAGGCCTTCCTTCGTGTTTTCTCTGAGAAGGAGCCTCCTGCGTCCCAGGGAGGGACCGCCAAGCATTCTAAAGATGGGGGGCTGCAGGATCTGGGGCCGGGGCGCAGGGTGCCTGTCCCAGGGCCTTGCTCTGGGTGTTCTGGTGGCTTTCTTTCTCACTGGGAAACTGAGGCAAGGACATTCTGGGGGACACTCCAAGGGCATTCACCTCTGTGTTTGCGCTCAAGATAGTCAGCCTTTTGGGGTGCCCCATCCCCACTCAAGAGGGGGTCTCCAGAGAAGACACCAAAACTTGGAGCAGCCTGGGACTTGGGCTCCCCCTATCAAGAGGGTAAAACCCTCTGCCCCCTGGGATAATGTGGATCCAGTGCCACAGCCCTGTACCCCACAGCCCCAGCTCCTCTCAGCCTCACTGCCCTCCCCCCGCTATCAGAAGCTAGGACCCCCCTCGTCTCCAACCCAGGGCCAGTCTCCAGCCTGTAAAGGGCACAGCTAACCACTTCCTTACTGAGATTCAGCCCTGCAAGCCCATCACTGAGGACAACGACCCCACACTGCAGCCCCGGTTCTGGGGACTTGCACCCAGAAACATGGGGTGCTGGCGCTTGCACCCAAGGAGCAGTCTGGGCCCCCCAGGTGTGAGTTTGCAGTTTCACGGCGTTCTGGGACTCACCCAAACACAGAGCAGACAGCCCAGCTTCTAACCTGCCGTGAGCCGGGGCGACGTGGCTTCCAGCCGGAGTCGGAGCCAGGAAGACGGGGCGCAGGGCCTGCGAGGGGACAAGAGGTGAGGAGCATGGAGGCTCTGTGGCTTCTAGGAAAATGTAAAACATTCTCTTGGACTAGGACAGCGTGCAATGAGGCATCACAGTTTCGGGGACTGAGCCCTCAGTCGGGGTTCACTGTAGGGAAATTTCAAGCCTGGTGGGGAAGCTGACGGGCAGGCGGGGCGGAGAGCAGTCGGGCACTTGCTTGTGGGGGATGCCGGTGCCCAGCAGGGACGACAAGGGGCAGAAGAGAGGCGGGCACAAGATGGGGGGCGCTCCCAGCCTTCCTGCAGGACCTCCCTGGCCAGGCTAGGGCTCTTGGCCTGTGTCCCAGAAACTCCAGGAAGTCAGGGAGGATTTAAAGCAAGGCACTGACAAGGTCAAACTGCTTTTTAGAAAGATCACTCAATGAAAACAAACTCTGCAAACCACTGACCCCAGCTACCCCAGCACTGAGAAGCTGGGGTAAGTTCCAGCCAGGGGAGAGTTTCACGTCGAAGCTGCACGCATGCTGCTTGAGGGTCACTAGCAAAAAGCGAAAGGAAAGAGCCCAGAACTTCCCTCCCAGGTGGCAGTGTGGGGTGTGTTCATAGAAACCTCACTTTAGGGCACACCCTCGCATGCTCAGTGTGGGCACGGCTTGGACTTACTTTATAAATAATAAAATCTGAATTATATTATTTCAGTAAACCCATGACCCGCCCTGGCGACTGGGCCACAGCTCCCTCCCCCACCCCCAGTGCTCCCAGCTGGGGCTCCCCGCTAGAGGAGGGTGCTTACAGACCCGGAATATTAAACAGCTCTTAAAAAGAATGAAACCTATTGTGTTTTGGCGGATCTTAGCATTGTGCGAACTGGATTAATCACGATCCTTTGTTCAGAGAGGCTTCCTCATCATTGGTCGGGGGCTGCCCCTCTTTATTTCGCTAATTTATGCATTCATATGTTCACGGCGGTGATGGCATCAACACTTGGCGGCCACCCCTCCAGCAGACCTTGGCAACTGCTCACACCTGGCCGCCGGCTGCCCCTGGCCGCGGAGGGGGCCGCCCGCGTGGGGGCGCGAGGGGGCGGCTAAGCAGCATGGGGCTCCTGGGCTGGGAGCCCAGGGTGCTGTTGTGAGAGCCCTGTTGATTTTTATTGTCTCGGAGCAGGTCTTGAGTGGGAAAAAACAAACACGGGGAAGGAAATGTACACAGGGCTGTTTGCGCAGCGAGCTCGTCGTGGCCTGTTTCTACACACAGGCAAATGCACACAAACATATCTGGAACCCCAGGCCCCAGACTGCTCAGGGCAGCGACGGGGGGAGGGCTGAGAGTGGGGTTCAAAGGCTGGAGCTTTCATCGGCCTTATTTTGATTTTCTGTAATTAGCCTGTCAATGAGCAATGCCTTTTCTGCCTAATTAAGTAAACACTTTGGGGGGCTACTTGGGTGCTTTCTTCCTTTTCCTGTGTGTGGGGGGGGAGGAGGGAAATTATATTTTGATTTTCACAAATTCAAAATATGAGCGTTTTGCCCGAGGGACCAGGAGGGGGCTCAGACCCCAAACTCGAGTTCTGTGGACACCAGAGGTTTATTTCATTCCCTTTTAAATTTCGTATATTCATGAGCAAAGCCAGAGCCCAGTGCCCGGTCACCTGCCTGTGCCGGGTGCCAGCAGGTGTGGCCCCACTGGGCTCCCACCACCCAGCCTCAGGCCCCTGCTGCATCTCCCCGGGGGGCTGTGATGCACCCACAGGGGCTCCTTCCTTTCAGGTCTAAAAGCGGCTCCGAGGACTGCAGCCGCGGCCAGTCCTGGGGGATTCGTTAGCGGGAAGAGAACTCCGGGAGAGGTGACATGAGGCTGGGGGCTGGGGCGCAGGGCCCAAGGCAGCCTGCGTCAGCCTGGAGGCTGGCAAGGGCCTGGGGATGGTGCATGCCACAGCTGGGCTCCCAGCCGGGCCCCTCGGCGGCCACGTTCCCTCTCCAGGCCCCCAACCCCAGGGGGCGGGGGCAAAGCACTGCTGACCGTGGTGCAGGGCGGGGGCGGAGGCACCTGCAGGTCTCCAGCCCCCCTTCCTGAACAGGGTAGTGCAGGGAACCCGGCGCCCGCCAGAGCCCCTCTGGCCCACGCTCCCGGCCCCGCCCGCTCGGGAAGCTCCGGCGCCCACGCCCCAGGCCGGAGCCCGCTGTTGGACCAACGTCTCCACCCCACCGGTGCAGCGGCTCTGACGGCCCTCCTGAACCCCAGGTTCTGCTAGGTGTCACCCTGCTTTCTCACCCGGGCCGGGTGGAGTGCTGATGAGCACTTTTGGGGTTCACGTCATAGCTCCGTCAAGATCTGGAATCTTGTTAGCACCCAGGTCGGAGCTGCCGCACCCCCACCTGGAGGTCACCTCCTCCCAAAATCTGCAGGAGCCAGTAAGGCTGATGCACGTCCTATCGTGGACCCAAGCTGACCCTCCCCGCCCTGGCCCCATCCCGCCAAGTGAGAAGGCTCCAGAGAGGGGGGCAGGAGCTGAGAGGCTCGGGGTGACCGGCCTCGAGGCGTTCAGTCATTTATTTCATCTCTAAAACAGGGCGACCCTTGAGCATGGCTGCCCCAGCCCGCTGGAGTGCCCTAAAGTGCCCAAAGTCACCCCGCTCCTGGAGAGGGACTGACCTCGCAGCCCTGAGCACACCCCAGCACCCAGAGACGCCTGGGCGCCGGCCTCCCTGCCTCGGGGTGGGGCTCCGACGCCTGCCCGGGCCGGAAAGGGGCACTGGCCGGCAGCTGCTCTGTCCCCCGCCCCCCAACGGCTGCCAGCACAGAGAGCGGGGTCACGTACCTGTCCTGCTGCAGCCGCGGGCCAGGCCCAGTGTCCTGTTGGCTGACCTCCACCCGGGACACCACTCACTGCCCGTCGGGGGCAGTGAGCCTCAGGCTGCAAAAGAAAGGCCGGCGTTAGCTCCACTCGGGGGCCCACAGCCACAAACTGTCCGATTTCACAAGTGAGAAACGTGGGCGGCACGGTTTTGCAGACCTTTCTCTGGATCCTGGCCAGGCCTCTGGTCCCTTCCTGGGAGAAAGCGCCTCTCACCTCCACGCCGCCTGGGAAAGGAGACCAGAGCGCTCAGCTGGGCCCTGCCTGCCCCGGCTGCCCGGCCCAGCCCACAGCAGCCCCCCGGTGTGCGGGCCCCCTGCCCTGCTGGGTGGCAGGGAGGCGCAGTGGGGACAGACTGACGCCCCGGGCAGGGCCGAGCTCCAGAGGCCTCGGACTGGGCAGATGCCACCGCCGAGAACCTCGTCCTGCGGGTGACTTCGGCCCCTGAGGCTGTTTCCCCTCTGAAAAAGGGGGTGATAAAAGTGAGCGCAAGGTGGATGCAGCGCACTCAAGGGGTGCACAGAGAGGTCCCAGTTGGGGAGCAACGGGGGGAAAGGCGAGGACAGCAGGGGGCTGGGGGGCGCCGGCACCCCGGGGACACCTCCAAGCCCCCAGCCCAGCCCTTCCACCCCTGTTCCCCCTGCGACTTTCCAGAGAGAAGCGAGGTCCAGTTGGCGGACCGGAGCAGCACCCCTGAACGCGCTCACCGACTGCAAGATTGGGGTGGGGTCCCATGCTGACCCCCCCGGGGTTGGCGTGGTGAGGAAGGCTAAAGGATTGGTTTGCCGCGAGAAGAGCCATGGCATGGTGGAGCCAGGATCTGCTCAATTCTCGAGCAGCTATAATTAGCAGGTCCTGGGCCAGCTGTCCTGTCCCTCTGCTGACAACCATATTAGCCGAAATGAGCCGAGGATGACCACATGAGCTTTTCAGGGAGATGGAGGCGGCTCGGAGGCCCCCAGTCCCCTGGTCTGGCCTCCTGTCAAGCCACGAGGCTGACTGCACAGATGCCATGCGAGGAAAGTCACTTCTTCCACCCGGGGTCCCTCAGGGTCCCCGTGCCACAGGCCACCCTCTGCTCCTGCCCTTCCAACACCGGGGAGGCGGGGCAAGGAACCCAACCGTGTGCACTGGCTCCGGCTGCCCTCTCCTCAACTGGACACCCTCGGTCTTCCTCTAATGCTGGGGAGCGTGCCGGGCCTCGGAGGGAGGATGTGGAGTGTTAGGGCGTCACGGGAGGGCAGAGCCTGACACAGCAGACGCTGGGGTGTACATGAACCCCAGAGATCCTCTGTGAGGCGCCTTCTTCATCTCCACCCGCCACGTGTGTGTGGGTCCGTGCGGCGGGGCCAGGGACTTTGCCACCCCAATCACAGCAGCCCCAGGCTCACCCCGCAGACCCCAGTTACCCACTTTGATGCGGGGCATCACCACCTCCCAAGTTAGTGGGCAACTTTAGTGACCCCAGGCCTCTGTCACTAGGTCCTGCCTGCACACAGCAGCTCAGGGGGGCAAAGGCTTGACACTCGTCCCCCTGGAAGGAGCGCCCCTCCCATGTGTCCAGGGAGAGAGGGTGGCCCCCCTGGGCCCACCCTGGCCATGAACCCGCCCCCAGCCCCCCGAGCCTGCCTGTTTCTGGACCTGCAGCTCTGGGCTAGAAGAGAGTAGGCCCCAGGCAGCTCTGCTTACATGAGACCCCATGAGGCCCCCCCAGAGCTCAGCCAGCTGCTGGGAGACAAGCAGAGTAGCGTCCCTCAGCCCCACACGCTCGGCCAACCCATCACTCTTCCCTCGGGCCACCCGCGGGCACCTTCAGACCCCCGAGTGGCAGGGCACGGCCCAGCCCTCCTAGAGCGAAGGGGAAACTGAGGGCCCGGCAGAGCGCGGGAGGAGGCGGCAGGGCCAGCTGGCAGGTGGCGCGGGCTCGGCCCCAGCGCGTCCTTGAAAGGCAAGAGCAGCCTCGGGAGCCACTGATTGGCCGGGCCCAGTTGGGCAGCCGGAGAAGGACACGCTCATCTGTGCCCCCCGCCCAGCCCCCCCACGGGCAGGCACGCTCTCCCCCTCCCAGGTTATTCTGGGCAGAGTGATCCAGTTGCCCCCGAAGCGACCGGTCAAGCGGGATGGGAGGGGGACAGGCGTCAGCACACCGCCACTGGTCAGGGTCAGGCTGCCCTTCACCTCGAGGGCAGAGAGCACAGGCCTGGGGCCCTCTCCCCAGACCCCAGCCCCACACACCAGGCTAGAGAGGAGCCCGGTCAGCACTGCCCTGACTCCTGCGTCCCGAGTGCCAGCAGCCCCAGGGGCTCAGCTTCCCCAGGGAGGCTGGAGCCCCAGTGGGGCGTGACACTGCGGGCGGGCCGGGGTGGGAGGCTGCTTTACAGGAGGGGTGGCTGCCCGGGCCCAGAGGTAAAGGGGTCCCCCACCTGGAACGCTAAGTGGTCCTCCCCGACGGCCAGCCGGGGTTGCCGGGGCCCTCCGCCAGCCGCATCGGGGCATCTCGCAGGGCCGCGGGCGCAGCCCACCGAGGACACAGTGGCCCTTGACGCTGGCTTCATGCTGGTCAACCACGTGTAGCGCCCCAGGGTCCTCGGGCCCCCCCGTGCCGGCACCTGCCCAGGCCCCAGCACCCGGCCCTGGTGGGGACCAACAGGGCTTCCCTTTGGGGTCACGCGGCCCCTAAGCTCTGGTTGGTGACTGTGCCTCTCACCCCATCCCTGGAGATGCCCCCGGGTGAACAGGCTTCACCCGAGTGAGCCCCTGACCCGAGCTCCTGCCCTCCGCAGGGCCACAGGGGAGAGAGAACCCTCGCTTCTCTCTCGTTTCCCCTTCCACCCTCTGATCTCCTCCTTGCACCCTCTACCTTCCTCCCAGCAGCTCGGGCCTCCTGCCCTCCTCCCCTGCCCTCACCTCTCCCCTAATTCCTCCACCCCCCGCCCCAGGCTCAACTCTGCTCCTAAATATCCTGCCATCTCCTTTTCCAAGCTCTATTTTTAAAATCAGATTTCCTTTACTGTACAAGTGAGCTGACAGGGAGAGGTATTTGCTGAGGGATTTGCCCCCCCCGGGCCCCCCCACGCCCCCCCCACTTCCAACCCTTCAAAGACGGGCAGTCCCAGCCCTGACCCAACGGGCCACGGCTCAGAGGCGCGAGAAGCTGACCAGACCAAGAGGGCTCGGGGCACAGAGGTGGTGAGACTGGGTGACTGCCTGCGGGGGGCGGGGGAAGGAGGGTTCCACCCAGAGACCCGGGGCAGTGCACTGAACCCCAATTTTTTTTATAAGGTGAGACTCTCCAACTCGGTAGCTTCTTCGAAAGAGACTGCGACAAGACTTTAGACTTGCACCTGAGCGCGCTGCTTTTGGAGGTCTGAGAACACTGCTGCAGGTCTCCCCTGAGGGCCTCGGGGTGGCAGGGGCGGGCTGGTGCAGGTGGGAGTTGGGGTGCCCCTGGGCCTGCCCAGGTGCTCCAGGGTGCAGAGCACCTGCAATGGTGAGAGCCTGGCCCCAACACTGCCCCACGTCCTGGCTGAGGGGTGCCGAGCCCCGAGCGGACCCCTCCCCCGGCCCCAGGGCCCCTCGCTCACCTCCGGCGTGGCATGGAACGTGAGGGTCCTCATCTCCCGGGGGATGGTCTGCAGGCTGCCGCCGCCGCTCCCCTCTGGGGACCCAGCACGGTGCCTGGGCCGGGAAGAAAGAACAGAACGTGCTGCTGTATGAACTCACGAGTTCTTGGCCGAGCCCAGCTTAAACCGAGACCCAGGCCCGTCATCAAAGCACGTTCGGGGGGAAGGGGCAGGAAAGCCAGGCATAAGGACCGAGGTGTTCTGGAATGCAGGTCCCGCAGCCCAAGTCACCAAGCAGCGTGAAGGCTGCTCCACAGGACAGACCCTGGGTCCACTTTCCGCTGCACGCCCAGGCATTTGGCTGCCGGGCTGCGGTCATGGGCTGCGGGGCCTCGCTCCGAGAGGCGGCTGCGCCAGGTGCGGACACATCTCTTTGGGGAGGAGAAGACACTGCAGATGGGGTGCGGGGAGGACCATGTGGAGATAGGGGCTGGGGGAGAAATCTGGACTTTATTTTGAGGAGTGACAAGATCAAGTTTTTGTATCACGCGAAGGAGTCGGGATTCTTGCCAAAGGGTTTTAAGAAATGTGATGGCAAAATTTTTGTTTGTGGGAGATGAATCCTCAGGGAAAAAGCATGATAAAGTAGGTCTGAAGGCCAGTCCGGCGGGCAGCGGGAACGCCACAAACCGTGGCCGCAAGGACCCCGCACGATCCAGGGTCGCCCGCCGCCTCCACAGCTCGGGTGTGGGGGTCACGCCTGGTGTCAGCACACCGGGGGCCCTGGTGGCTGTTGTCACCAAGGCTGAAAGACTTTACTCAGGGGAGCGCTATGGCACACAGTGGGCATTTGCAAAGAGCTGCAAAGAGATTTGGAATTTATTTTGAGGCGCTGACATGATTCAATTTTTTGCACATGCCTCAGAATTTGATTTCAGCCAATAACAAGTTGCCAGAGAGTGACATGGTGTGTTTTGGGGTTTTGTTTTTTTTTTTTTTTTGTTTTTTTTTTTTTGGATTTGATAGAGAGCAGTGAAAATAAAATTCGCATTTGATGATAAGAATTGGGATTTTAATTCCACGATTCCACAATGAAAAGCTACCATTAAGATTTTAAGGTGGAGTTCCAAGATCAAATTTTACATACTGCACTAGGAAGTGTGAATTTTATTCTCAGGGATGACAAGATCAAATTTTTATAGCATGCTAAGATGTTTGGGCTGAAGCCAGTAAAGGGTTCCCAAGAACGACAGGGCGACATTCGGGATGTTTTATAGACCAGTCTGAAAATAAATCATATGGTAAAGCATTGCATTTTATGGTAAGTACTTGGGACTTTATTTTTCGAACAATGAAAGTCGCTTGCAAAGTTTGAAATTGGGGAGTTACATGATACCATGTGTGCATTTCAACAGAACTGCAAGAGTGGATTTTTATGGCAAAGAGAACATGATGAGATTTTTATAACATGCCAAGGCGATGTGATTCATGTGAGGCTGAAGGCATGCGAGCGTTTCACTGGGGAGGGATGTGATCTCATTTCTGGACCCTGATGCAGAGGTATTTGGATTCTAGCCAGTAAAGGGCTTGGAGAACTGATTGATAAGAAGAGTTTCATCTGCGGGAGAAATAGCTGGTAAAATATATTTTGCGCTCAGGCGTCTGGATTTGGTGAACCAGGTAATGGAGGGGCATGGACGGCTCCGGGGGCACCTCTCAGCCCAGATGCGCCCCGACCCGTACTCAGTGCTGGGCAGCGGCTCACTTATGGCGAGGAGTAAATATGGAGTGGTCAGGCAGCTTGTACGCAGAGGCGATAGGTTGAATGCTATAGAGGCTCAGAGACTTGGACAGTGTTTAAAGGACGGGATCCCATTTCGTGCCACGGTGAGGAATTGAATTTAAGCCGTGAAGAGATTTTTGAGAGTGACATGGCGAAGGTTCTGTGTTTAATAAGAGCCATCTGCAAAGAAACTATATAGTAAAATGTGTATTTTGTGCTAAGGCGTCTAGGTCTTTTCTCGTAGATGAGTAGGAGAGGTCACAAGGCTTTCAGCGGACGCTGCAAGACCAAATGCACGCAGCGTGCGAGGACTTGCGGCTTCCCCCACTCTGAGGGCCGACAAGGCCAGACTGTCAGCTCAGCTCACGCTTGGCTGTTGGGAATTAAGCTGCTACAGGGCTCAAGGAGTCGCCGGGCAGAGTCTGCGCGTTCTACCCACCCGCTTGCAGATAAATTCCACCATTTGTTTTTTATGCTAAATTAGAATTTCTTATTAGCGACAGCGAAGACACGTGGCAATGTGAAATTTACATATAATTTACATGATATAAATTACGGGGTAACTTTTATGCCTCTTGCTCACGGCTGAACTTTGATGGTAAGGAGTATGAAAGGTATTTCGTAACATGCCAAGGATGTTAGATTTTAGGGTGAAGCAGGAATGTCGGCAAATTTAATCGGTTACATCATTCAGTTTATAAATAACCCGAGAAGCAAAGACTTTTTAGTAAGAAGAGGTATAATCATCTCTTCTTGAATGAAATTTCACTCAATTAAATTTCTTTTATTTTAGCCAACTTAAATTTTGAATGTTTGGTCAGTTAAGGACTTAGCCTGCTTAGGGTTTTTCATTTTATCCATTAAAAGATTTTAAGAGAACTACCAAGATTTTTAATTTCATTCAACTTTTCTAGATCTAACTGACATTTAATAGTATGTTAGATTCAGTCATTAACGTTTTTAAATCACTGGGGGCTGTACAGGGCTTTAAGTGTTTTTAAGACTCAGTGATATGTACTTTCCTACATTTTAATCAATTTAATTTTTTAATTTTAAATTTTAGACGGTCCAAATTTTCAAACTTAAATTTTAGATAATTTAAATTTTAAATTTCGGCCAATAAAGAATTTATTAGATTTCAAAAGACAAAAATCTTTTACTGAGGATTTTAATTTTATTCAACTTTTAACCTTAAATTTTAAGCCACTAAAAAGGCCTTAACATTTTTAAGACACAGGCTGAAATTATACGCTTTTAAATTACAGTCAACTTAAATTTCTAATTTTTAGTCAATTTAAATTTTTTCAGGTGAGCCGATTTAGATTTTTTAAATTTGGGCCACTAAAGGTTCTTAAGAGACCTACCGAGATTTTTTTATTTTATTCAGTTAAAATATTTTGGCTTTAGCCAAAATTTTTAATGTTTGGTCAATTTAAATTTTTTCAAATTAGTAAACTTAAGATTTTTTCATTTTAGTCACTATTAGCTTTTAACTTCATTCGAGTTAAATTTTTAAATGTAGCCAAATTAAATTTTTACTCAATTTAAAATCTCTCAGTGTACCAATTTAGGTTTTTAATTTATTTTAGCCATTAAAGGGTTTTAAGAGACCTAGTGAGTTTTGTTAATTTTATTCAATTTAATATTTTAGTCGACTTCAATCTTTAATTGTTCGTTAACTTAATTTTTTAAGCTTAGCCAACTTAGGTTTCTTAAATTTTAGCCATTAAAAGGACTTTAAGAGACCTACTGTACAATTGTATTTTATTCAGTTTAAACTATTTAATTTAGCCAATTTAAATCTTAAAATTTTTAGCATTAGCCAATTTTAAATTTTAACCATTTAAAATCAAAACCATTTAAATTTCAAAATTTTAAATTTTAACCAATAAAGGGCTTTAAGAGTTTTTAGGGACATATCAAGACTTTTTTATTTTTAATTTTCCTTCAATTTTTAATTTCAACTAATTTAACCTTAAATTCTTTTAATTTAGCCAACTTAATTTTTTTTTTAAATTTTTACCAAGGTAGGGCTTTGAGAGTCCTAAGAACATCCTTAGATTTTTATTTCTAATAAATGCATCTGCAGATGAATTATATAGTCAAATTTTACACTTCAATTAAGATTTTATATTAGAGAATTGGGATTTTGCTGTAATAGTACACACCTTATAAGGAGTTAGGAAAGGAAATGAGTTAATTTTGCAATGTGCTATACAGATGTGATGGTGGTGGTGACGGTGGTAGCTGGTGGGGATTTCACTTGATTCGTACCTCATATGAGAAACATAATCTGTGCCTTGAGGAAAGACATGAAAAGTATTTTCTACTATTCGGAGGTCCTTCCATTTTAGCCAGAACATGATTTTGATGAGTGTGTGTGTCAGGAATTTTTGTGCTACAAGGTTTGAATTTTAAATTATCGCTGGTAAGCAGATAGCCAGAAGTTTTCACCAGCAGCCTGTGTGATCAAATGAACTGCCCCAAGAATGCAATGGTTTTGAGAAACAGCAGATCAGAATTTTGCATATTATTTGGAAATTTGGGCTTTCAGCCAACGAGAAGTTTTTTATGGCTAAGAAAACCAAGCAGGAATTAACACTGTTAAATGAATAAAGACCAATAACCACAGAGCTAATTTGTTGAGTAATTAGAATTCAATTTGCTCTTCCCAGCAGAGAGGAAATACGCAAATTATCCCAACAAAAACATCTCTTGAAATTCAGTCTCTGCCCACTCAAAACCACCCAAGATTAGGTCTCTAAAGATCTACTCAAAGGCAATCAGATATCAAAGATGCCCCACGCCCTCCCTCACCCCTCCATATCTCAACTCCCTGGAAGCCACCTATGCTGGGGGAAGGTGACTGCCCGTACAGAGATGGGCACCGGTCAGAGAAGGGAGCGGGCGCAGGCCAGGGCTGGAGGGGGTGCGGGCGCGTCTGCGGGTGAGGAAGCGACGCCCTGTTCTCAAGGCTCCTGAAACCCCAGGAGAAAGAGGGGACCTGGGAGAGGGGGTGTGGGGGAGGGGGCCCCACCTGCAGAGCTCGACTGGGCAGAGCCCAGGGAACGCAGCAGGGGCAGGACAAATCAGAAAGGGTCTCAGCGAGAACCAGATGACAGATGTGCCCGCCTCTGGCGCCTTAGAAACACTTCCAGGGAACCCCAGAGCCAGCGTGCAGACCCCTCTCTCCCGGGGTCAGCGGCGCTTGGCAGGAAACGGCTGCTCCCAGCACTAGACCACGGCCAAGCGCCCGCTGGCTCTGCCCCCGTTCCCTGAAGTCATCCCGCCGGGCGCCGCTCCTGGAGAGCCCGGCCTGCCCCCGGGCCAAGCCGCCTGCAGAGTGCCCGCCGGCCAGGGCAGCTCCGAATAGCACCAAGATGTGCCCCCGTGACTCTCGGGCGACCGAGTAAGGGAAGCGGGTGGCCCGGGCACACGTGCCAGGGGGAGCGGAGCGGCCAGCCGCCTTGCCAGGTGCCTGCCTGCCACGCCAGCACTCCGGGCTGTTGCAACGCCAAATTTATGGGCTGTGAATTTCTCACCACCATGGGGGAAGGCGCCTGGGCCAGACGGCAGTGAGCCTGGGAGAGTAGGTCACGAGGTCAGGGCTGACACAGGGCTCTCCCCAGGGCGCCCAGCCTGCACCCAGGCCAGGACCCCTGTTCTGATGAACTGGGCATGTTTTGTCCTTGAGCACCTGACGCCTCCGGAGACCCTAACCTGACTCTAACCGCACCCCCCAACCCCCCGCCCCCAGATTCTGGTCTCTGCAGCTCCAGTCGCTGACCAGCGCCTGCCAACCTTACCAGTCTTCAGAGCAACACTCCTTTCCACCCGACGACATGATAGAACCCTCTGAAGACTCATTTGAGACGATGATGGAGCGTAAGAATCCATCATCAAAACAAATGGAGTCCTCCGAGGGCTCATCCAACACCACCGAGGAGCCGGCGGGCCGCGGCGCGGAGGCGGCGGGGGCGGCCGGCGGCCCCGGCCGGGGAGAGGCTCAGCTGCTCATCGATCTCCTCCAAGACATGGAGGAGCCATCCAGTGGCCCACATAGGGAAATCACGGATCCACCCAATGACCTACTCCAAGACCTGGAGGAGTCATGCTACGGTGCAGAGCAGGAGGTGGGGGGTCCGTTCAGCCAGGCGCCTGAGGGAAGGGGAGAGATGCCCGTCACCCCCTGGGGAGACCAAGAGGAGGAAGAGGACAGCACTGACCTGCCCGAGCTGGACGGCGAGGAGAACCCGGCGGAGCAGGCCGACGCCGCGACCGCGGAGACCATGAGCACGGTGAGGTCCGTCATCTCGCTGTACTTCCGGATGCAGGATCTCAGGGAGCAGCAGAGGGTGGCCGAGGAGATCCTGACGGAGGCCATCAGCGCCGGCCGGCTGCCCACGCCCCGGCCCTTCTCGGGCGACCGCCGCGAGTACCACGAGTTCATCGTGCTCTGCCAGCTGGTGCTGCAGGGCCACCCGCGCATGTTCTGCAGCGACCGCCTGCGCGTGGGCTACGTCATCTGCCACCTGTCGGGCCTGGCCCTGGAGTGGGCGCAGGCCCTGCTGCGGGAGGAGAGCCCCCTGCTCGGCGACTTCCCCGCCTTCCTGGAGGCCATGTCGGAGAGGTTCGAGTACCGGCAGGCCCTGCGCGTGGCAGAGGAGGCCATGCTGAACATCCGCCAGGGGGACCGCTGCGCCCTCGACTACATCGCCGAGTTCCAGGGCCTGGTGCCCACCCTGGGCTGGCCGGACGAGGTCCTGCAGGCCCACCTGTGCCAGGGGCTCAACGAAGACATCCGGCACTACCTGTTCCGCGTCCCGCAGCCCGACTCGCTCCACAGCCTGATGGTGCTGGTCCTGCAGATAGAGGAGAAGCTGGCGGAGAGGAGGGCCATGCTCAGGCTGCCCCCGGAGGCGCGGCCGCGCAACCTGACCTGGGTCGACTCACCTGCGCCCGAGCGGTGGACGGTGAGCAGCTGGCTGCCCTCCGAAGGGCACCCCGCCATCAACCGCGACCACCTCTTCCTGCTGCTCATGGTGAGGGTGAACCCCTACCACAGCGTGGCGGTGCGGGCCCTGGTGGACTCCGGGGCCAGCGGCAACTACATGGACGAGAGGTTCGCCCAGGAGCACTACGTGGAGCTCTACGAGAAGACTTACCCGAGCCCGGTCCAGAGCGTGGACGGCTCGCTCGTCGGCAGCGAGCCCGTCTGGCTCTACACCGAGCCCCTGGTGTGCATCCACCAGAACCACCAGGAGTCCCTCGAGTTCGACATCGTCCCGTCCCCCACCTTCTCGGTGATCCTGGGCATGGAGTGGCTCCGCGTCCACAGCCCGGAGGTCGACTGGGCCGGGGGCCGCTGCTCCTTCCACTCTCCCTACTGCCTGAAGAACTGCTTCCGCCCGCCCCCTCCGTGCGTCGCCCTGCAGCGACACGCCATCAGCCTCCTGCCCGGACTGCCGCCCCTGTACTCCGACCTGGCCGACGTGTTTAACCCGAAGGAAGCAGATGATGAGACATCCGACCAGCCAAGCTCAGACGGATCCGATGATCTTTCTGAATCAGAGCCCTCTGAGCTTCAGCAGGCTGGAGACAGTGATCACAGCGAGACCTTTTACGAATGTCCCTCCAGCGCGCCGTGGGAACCTGTGGGTGCCGAGATGCAAGAAGCAGCCAAGCCAGACGTGTACTGGGACACACAAGACATGCTGGACAGCAAGCAGGACTACATACAGGTGATCCCCGAGCTGTTCGACCCGCTACACGGCGCCACGTGGTTCACCAAGCTGGAGCTGCGGGGCACCATCGTGGAGGAGAGCCTGAGCGTCCACCACGTGGAGGACGTGTGGCAGGCGGCCTTCGGCCTGCAGCGCCGGGAGACGGACAGCTACCAGCCCTTCGTGCTCTGCGCGGACCCCATCATCCGGCAGAGCGTCATCCACTTGATCCTGAAGGACATGCTGGGCTACTTCGTGCTGTCCTACGGGCAGGACGTGCTCGTGTTCTCCATGAGCCAGGAGGAGCACGGCCAGCACGTGCGGCAGGTGCTCCTGCGGCTGCGCCACCACAGCGTCCACTGCTCCCTGGCCCGCACCCAGTTCCACCGCCACACGGTCGAGTTCCTGGGCTTCGTCATCACCCCCAAGGGCGTGAGGCTCAACAAGAGCATCGTCAACACGGTCACGGGCTACCCCACCCCCGGCTCCAAGAAGTCCCTGCGCCACCTGATGGAGTTCATCGTCCCCTACCGGCACTTCGTGGAGCGCTTCGCCGCCCTCACCGAGCCGCTGGTGCGGCAGCTGCTGTCCGAGCGGCCCTTCTACTGGGGCGACGAGGAGCAGGAGGCCTTCGAGGGCCTGAAGCGGGCGTTCCGCAAGGCGCCCCTGCTCCACCACCCCAAGCCCCAGAACCCCTTCTACCTGGAGACGGGCGCCACCAGGACGGCGCTCTACGCCTCCCTGACCCAGGTGGACGAGCAGACCGGCAGGCGGGTCTGCTGCGCCTTCTACTCCCGAACCACCTCCCGGCTCGAGGACAGCTACTCCCCGCTGGAGATGAAGATCCTGCCGATCAGGGCTGCCTTCATGGTGTGGTGCCGCTACCTGGAGAACACCGAGGAGCCCATCATGATCCTTCTAAACACCGAGGATCTAGCCTCTCTGAATAATGACAGGCTCACCGTACTTCTCCCGGGGCACTGGGTCTTCTTCTTCTCCCACTTCAACTTCGACGTCATGGAGCGGCCAGACCCAGAGGGCGGCCGGCCCGGGGCGCCCCTGCGGAACCCCCACCGCAGGGGGCTCCCCCGCCTCGGGGCCGCGCGGCCCCGGCTGCTGTTCGCTCTGGGAGGATCCCGCAGGGATCAGCTCGCCGAGTCCGGGGAAGAAGAGGAGGGCGAGGAGGCACCCGGGCCGGGTGGGCCGGGCGGCCTGACCCGCCAGCAGGAGTTCCTGGCCCTCATCCCGGTCGACCAGATCCTCAGCGCCTTCCTGGCCCACTACAGCGCCGCCCAGAGCCGGGCGGTGGTCCTGCACTTCTTCCGCGGCCTGCTCTTCTGGAAGGACACCCTGGCCGTGGCAGCCCTGCTGGTGCTGCTGAGGGCGCGGCAGCGCCCGGCCCTGCCG